TCTGAGACTATCTGAGGCTCTTTGAGACTCTTTGAGACTCTGAGACTCTGAGACTCTCTGAGACTCTCTGAGACTATCTGAGGCTCTCTGAGACTCTTTGAGACTCTGAGACTATCTGAGACTCTCTGAGACTATCTGAGACTCTCTGAGACTATCTGAGACTCTCTGAGACTATCTGAGGCTCTTTGAGACTCTTTGAGACTCTGAGACTATCTGAGACTCTCTGAGACTCTCTGAGACTATCTGAGACTCTCTGAGACTATTTGAGACTCTTTGAGACTCTTTGAGACTCTCTGAGACTCTCTGAGACTCTCTGAGACTATCTGAGACTATCTGAGACTCTTTGAGACTCTCTGAGACTATTTGAGACTATCTGAGACTCTTTGAGACTCTCTGAGACTCCCTGAGACTCTCTGAGACTATCTGAGACTCTCTGAGACTCTTTGAGACTCTCTGAGACTATCTGAGACTATCTGAGACTCTCTGAGGCAACTCAAATCTCCCGCCAATAAAAGTCCAAAGTCATCCCACATTTTTATTTTGATTATTTATTAAAAATAAAACAAGAGACGTTCTGTGGAGCGGATGTTCCAGCCGCACTATGCGCACCAGCTCGTGCACATGCTCCTGCCCAGCAGAGACACAGACCACATGTCCTGCAAGGATGAGCGTCTTCATCCACCTTCAGCTGTGTGCCCTGAGACCGTGCACGTTTTACGCACAGGATTGTCTCCAGAATGAAAGATGACAGAATTGTAGCTGCTATAATTCACTGCTCTCTAAAATAGTAATTTCAGTTCAACCTTTATTTCTACAGGTTGTTAATCTCACTGAGCCTCGTCATTTACAAGAGAGACCTGTTTTTAATCCATTTAATCAAATGTTTACAGATGTTTAACAACCTCTTAAAATACACCAAAATGCAGGAAATGGCATCTCTTTTATTCCAGATTTTCTGGGGGAGGAACCACAGACCCCATGGACACCCCCCCCCCCCCCCCCCCCCCCCTCCGAACCGCCTGCTATTTATGTTCCAGCATCAGTTGGTTTACAAGTTAAGCCCTGCTTGTAAGGTCCATTTTTCCAAACAATGCTATGCTGTGAGGATCATTTGCTCCTCATGGGGTCCAAAGCCAGGTCCCCATGAGGAGCAGTGCTGTTTTGACCCGTTATCGGCTCCAAAGCGAACCCTTAAACACCAAGAACTCTTCTGGAACCAGAACTGATGCTTTAAATTAAAGTCCTTAACGAGTCACAGAGAGTTAAAAACTCGTCTCGTTGTGTTTTGTGACACAGTTCACAAAAATGACACTTCCTTTGTCTCTGCCATTCTTCACATTGTTGCACGTAAATTCATGCACAGAAAATGAGACGTACTTCAGAGGAACACACCTACAATTACTGCTTCCTTATGTTGTTGTTGGCAGGTGCCAACAACACAGTCATCCATTAACACACATTTTAGATTTGCATATAAAGCCATTCTTACAGCTCTTTAAATCTTGTAAGTAACTTTACACGCACGTAACTGAACTGAATTCAAAGTGTCCCGAGCTGATTTTACAGTATTCACTGGCCCAGTCCTGATTTATAAGCAGCTCCTTTAACGCAGTGTACAAAGTTAAAAATGTGTCAACTCAACAAAAAACCTCACGCAGAGTGGATGAAG